AGTCTTGTCACTTTTTTCCTCGGGTTTCGTGGACAAGAACACAACGTTGTTCCAGGAAGATGGAGCACCGTGTCCCACTGCTAGAAACACCCAAAAGTGGCAGGAAGAAAATGGTATTCAAAAGTTGCTCTGGCCGAGCCAATCTCCTGACATGAACGCCATCGAAAACCTCTGGGCTATACTCGACCGGCAAATCAAGAAAGAACAACAAAAACCAATTTCGAAGAGCGATATACTCCAAGTTTTGAAGCAAGAGTGGGCGAAAACCCCACAATCTAAAATTGACGAGATGATTCTCACGATGCCCCATAGGATTAACGAACTCCACGAAGTGAAAGGGAGATCTACTAGATATTAATTAAATTATAAATATATCAATTCATGTGAACATGACTGAAAAATTTCATTTTTTTTTCTTGAAAAGGTGGTGTCTATTTACTTGTGACCACGCTGTGTATATATATATATATAAAGAGGATTGTACATCTTAGACTTATAAAACGTATTGTAAATTTTCATGAATAAAAGAGAGGGAGAGAAATTACCATTAACCTCATCAAGTTGTTGCAACATAGTTCCTTACCAGTTGCGTCTGTCTGAACTTCTGGTAGTTGTTTCCACACTAGCTGGTTATCACAAGTTCCTAACCCTGAACACAACACAGCTGGAGGCTGATTTCTTCTAGACTGGACACGAATGTTATTTTTTCCTGACCATATCTTAACTTCCAAGTAAGAATTCCTCCAAGATTCTAGTTTAGCTTGTGTTATCCGCAAGTGTAAACTGCATAACATCAACATAACAGGTAATTAGTTTTTATAAGAAACTGCACGCGATAAACGTCACTACAGATCAGATCATCATCCAATCTAAACGATACCGAAAAAAAAGGTGATTTATCATGTACATGGTTCTCATCGATTTCACTTATCTATATGTAAGACTACTCTTTCCATTAGCTAAATTAAAGATTGCCATGATCTACTAAAAAAAAAATCCAAATTTGAACTCATGCTTACTTTGCCTTCCTAATGGCTTTAATGCCAAAGTCATGTATCAAAAACAAATAATTTATATTGCCATATTCTAATTTTTAAATGATTGAAACCATTGAACAGGATAGTGTCATCTTTTATTATCTTCAAATTAAAATCTGAACAAGCTTGAATATATTAACTTTACAAAACTATTAAAAAATGTGAATAAAAAAAGGTTACAGCTCGAAGAACTTTCAAAGTTACAACTATCCACAAACCAGTATAGTAATCTAAGTGCACTGGGTGCTTATGGTGGTGAAAATGTGCACTTCGAGTTATGTAAACATAAGTACACTGGGTACTTATGGTGGTGAAAATGTGCACTTCGAGTTATGTAAACATAAGTGCACTGGGTACTTATGGTGGTGAAAGTATGCACTTCGAGTTATGTAAACATAAGTGCACTGGGTGCTTATGGTGGTGAAAATGTGCACTTCGAGTTATGTAAACATAAGTGCACTGGGTAATTATGGTGGTGAAAGTATGCACTTCGAGTTATGTAAACATAAGTGCACTGGGTATTAATGGTGGTGAAAATGTGCACTTCGAGTTATGTAAACATAAGTGCACTGGGTACTTATGGTGGTGAAAATGTGCACTCGAGTTATGTAAACATAAGTGCACTGGGTACTTATGGGGGTGAAAATGTGCACTTCGAATTATGAAACAATGATATATTATTACAGAATGATATTAAACTATAATTTGTACTCTTTTGTTCATAAACATTTCAGTAATTTGAATATTTTTCACCTCTATGGCATTAACTTCTGGAAAACACGATCTTCGACCTTGAATAACTTTTCAGTCTAGTAAAAATTGTATTGCTTTCATTCAATTTTACCTATTACCACAAGAGAGATGTATGTTTGATCATAGGCCTGGCAAGAAACAGGTCGCGAGATCGAAACCGGCCAATGAACATGCTCCTCTTTCAGCCGTTATAAAGTTCGATCAATCCCACTTTTCATTGATAAAAAGTAGCCTAAAGGTTGTTGTTAACTATCTATCTTACCTCTAGTCTATTACTTCAAAATTAAGGATAGCTAGCACCGATAGCTCTCGAGTAGCTTTGCATGAAGTTCACGAAACAAGCTGTTTTATTATATGTTAATATTTAGATTATTGTTTTTCAAATTAATTTCTATCATATATATTATTATTATTATTAATATTTTTCTTATTTGTATTATCTGTTTTTCAGTTTATTGTAAACAATACTGACTGTGTTGGTGGGACAGGTGTTGACCAGTGGTTAGCATGGCGGACTATGTCACATTGCTGCAAAATTACGCCTCGCACTTTTGGGGCCATGAGTTCGTTATAAAAATAACAACCAAATTCCCTTATTTGTTTAGAACTGTCGAAGAGTTGGTGCTCTTGATCATGTGCTTTCCCTTTAGTGTATCTCTTCAAAATTAGACACGACTAGCACAGTTAACCTTGTGTAGCTATGATCGAATATCAGAATTGAATATTGGTGTGCTCAACCTAAATGACACCTTATGTGCACATGGCTTAAACATCCAGGTCATAGACCTCTAAGATTCGGGTACAACCAATTCTAATTTTGAGCTACTAACCCTAAGGAAGGTAGTGACTTCGAATAACTCGCCAGCACAACGGTTTTGTTCAGATTTGAGCCGAATATCGTAGTTGATTGTTATAAAACGTATCCATAGCTGAAAACGTGGAATGTGTTAAGGGACATTGCGACACGACCTTTGACCCTCAGGTTATAGCTCGACATACTAATCACTGGGCCACAATCTGCTTGATAACAATGTCTTTTTAATTTTTGTTTCTTTATCTTTAGCTATTTGTCTAATGTAGTTTCCATTTTTGCACTTATATTTTCAAATCATTACCCCGAATTCCTCCACCTCCCCTTTTATTAATTATTTTTCACGCGCTGCCTGTTCGTCTCATTTTTTTCGTGCACCACCAGTTGCGTGCCAACGGGAGTGGGGAAACCTCCTATAGAAGAGCTGTGCCACCCCTTCTAAGATATCAGGATTTAGTCTTTTAATATTTTTAATATTCTTTCTACACTGTGACTCCTACTGACCTGAAAGTGTGATTTTTTGGAGTGGCAAGATAGAAAGAATAAAAGTTATTTCTTGAGTACTTCACCTTCCTCAACTAACTCTTGTCCCCCTTCTGCCTCCATAAATAAAAAAACAAACAAAATTCCCAGTAACGTTACTTTGCACTATCCATTGTATATTTACTGAAATATTCCCCTTTAAAATACTTCCGTGTTGTCATGGCGATCAATTAAACAACTTTCACATTTTACACCACCACAATTCATCCCTCAAACAAGGCCCAATTTCGGAAAAGTTATTCAGTTTCTCTCTCTGTGATTTATATGTGTATCTAACTAACTCATCATACACGAAATTCATTAACCTTTAGTATTGTCAACCATATCTTTTTATCAGTCGTTACAGAACATGTTATTAAAGATTGTACTAAACTAACACTACAAAGGAACTATACGAACATTTCTTTGTGCAAAGTTTCTTAGAAGGCTATCTGGGCTCTGTTCTCCGCAGGAATTGAACCCCGGGGGATCCATATGAATGAAAAAAAAATATCATTGCTTACAGTCTGGTTTATTTCCGATATTCAAACAAAACTACACTGCTCGAATATCTGACCAGCCGTCTTTAATTTGAGAATTTATAAAGTTATGGGAGTTAGTCAGTAGCACTTACCGCCAAAATTTGGGCTACTACTATCTGACTGAATAGTGTTTTTGACCATCACGTATAACGCACCCAAAGGGCGGAGCGCGATTTTGGGGCCCTTCATAGTGCGAGGACTCTATCCACTAGGACATGTCTCACCCAATTTTAAGAAACAGAAAATTACCTCAAAGTCCAAGCTGCTGCACTCCACCCGTTTGCGACGGACCATGTGCTCAGGACCGCACTTTTGCCTTTGTTCGAGATTTTGAAGGCTGGACCATAAAATATAATATCAGTCTCTTCTTTACCCGACAGGTTTAACTCAAGATGGAAGAAATGCCTGGCACTACCGAGAATAACTGGTTTTAAGTCCGATTCTTCTTCCCTGGTTTTGTATTTTCTCTCAGAATATACTTCCCACCTTGGTGTTTTGGTTTTCCTACTAGATTTTCTTTTTTGGGTTCCGGTATCTTTAAAAACACGAGGTGAATTACAAAATAAGAATCCAGATAACCCTTACATTTTTCGAAGGTGGTCCTTCGTTCTACGGGAGTAGGTTAATTTTAATTTATTAAAAAAAAATGAATACATAAACATCGTACAAAAATGTAAATAATCATAGGTAATTTGTAATTTCCTTTAAAAAATTGGACCAACTAGTGGTACGAATACGTTATTTAAGTAAACTACAAAACCACCAAGTTTTAGGGTTTGGAATACATTTGAACGTACAAGTTATTACACACAACATGCTTTTCCATATCGAATAAAATTCTAACTTATATTACGTATCTATTATTTTGGTTTGGTTTGTTTCAAGTTAAGCACAAAGATACACAATGGTCTGTCTGTGCTCAGCCCACCACGGATATCGAAACCAGGTTTCTAACGTTGTAAGTCTTCTGTGCCACTAGAGGGCGTATTTATTATATTACTCAGTTTTTTGTCTGTCCTGAAAATGCACGTACTTAATTTCAATGGTTGTAAACAAAAGGAGGATGTAAATATAGTTTAGTAGACATTTTGTACAACAACACATTAAAAGCTTATCAAAGTTTGTAAAAATGTCTAACATTAGATCGTAGAATAACAGTATAAGTTTATTTATTGATAGTATTAAGTGCGGCAAAGTTTAACCCTAACGAAACTAAAGCAAAAAAACGTAAACGTATTATATATATAAAAAAAACTATTTGTTTTATAGCAAAACCACATTGGGCTATCTGCTGTGTCCACCGTAGGGAATCGAATCCTGGATTTTTGGAGACATAAAAACAGAGAAATCATTAGAGTAACGTAATGAAAGTCACTGCACAGGAATTTTTTTATTCAAATATCATATATATCTTGGCATGTACTTGAAACACATATATTGCTCCAGAATCTTTTCATATTCTAAGAGCTTAAGAATGAAAGTGAAGAATGAATAGCCTATCGTCTAATACCAGGACAGATCAGGCTGGATAGAATACGACAGACATAGTTGTGATAGAGACGCTATTTATATTATCAAATTGTAAAAACATGTAAATAAGGGGATTCCAGATTTCTAATTTTCAAGTCTTCATTTCGTTAGAAACTGAAATATTCAAAAACATAAAATATTTAGTCCAGTTTCACAGAATAAAGCTTTGATATTATGAAAGTAAATGTTTTGGTGTGAATTAGTCTTAAAGTAATTTACAAACCAGAATTAACTACTCCCTCCTCAACACACACACAAAATGATTTTGTGGTTAATATTAAAATTAACAACTCAACCTACACAACCCTACTCAACACACACACAAATGGATTTTGTGGTTGATATCACAATTAACCACCCCTCCTCAAAACACACATACAAAATGATTTTGTGGTTAATATCAGAATTAACTACTCCCTCCTCAACACACACACACAAAGTGATTTTGTGGTTAGTGTCAGAATTAACTACCCCCTCCTCAACACACACACACAAAGTGATTTTGTGGTTAATATCAGAATTAAATACTCCCTCCTCAACACACACACACAAAAAATGATTTTGTGGATTAACCACAGAAACAAATCTAAATTTGTAGAGTCACGTGGCAAACAAAATTTTCTAGAAACTAATCATTTTGTTGTAATCTTCAAATTTATATTTGAGTGATACCAAAGCAAAAGTTCTATTTAGCCAGAGGGCGCTTTAGGCCCAGGTAATATTTGGGAATAATAATAATTCAATCTTGCCTTTATTCTGCTAGTTTTAAAAACCATTATTACTTTTTTTTTATTTGGATGGCCGGCTGGACCTCTGTGTGGCCGGGGGCCCTAAGTGGCCTGTACGTTACTCTGGTAATGTTTAAGTAGGATATTTTCTTTGTAAGAAGAGAAAACAAATTCATATATAGTGATCTCTTACATCACAGCGGACATTTATTTATTAGTAAAACATATTCAGAATGGTTTGTATGAAATCGTGTTTATATATTTTTTTTCAGTTTGAACTTTCTAATTTTAGATTCTTTACCTTCCAATCAGAAAGGTTTTGTCACAATTGTATAATTCACTGCCAGTTGAATAATTTTGTTTTAGTAAATAAATTCGTTTCAGTCTTTTGTTTCTTTTACATTCTGAGTCTCTTATGATAAGTTTTCATTCAGACGAATGCTAAAATAAACACTCCTCGTCTCTTTGTATCTAAGAGTCACCTTTAGACATCTTGGTAAATTCTATACATGGACTCTTCTTCCTGATCCAATATCTACATCGCAAATCATTCACGATTTTGCCCCCAGTGGCACAGAGGTATCCCTGAGGACTTACAACGCTAGAAACCGGGTTTATATACCCGTGGTGGGTAGTGCACAGTTAGCCCATTGTGTAGCTTTTTGCTTAATTACAAACAAATCACATTCATGATTTTCATTCCTTCCCTTTCTGTCATGACTGGACCAGTATAAGTAAGTTTCATAACTGGACCAGTACGGGTAAGTTTCATGACTGTACTAGTACGGGTAAGTTTCATGACTGGATCAGCACAAATAAGTTTCATAACTAGATCTATACGAATAAGTTTCATAACTGGATCAGTACGAATAAGTTTTATAACTGGACCAGTACGGGTATGTTTCCTAAACTGGACCAGTGCGAGTAAGTTTCATAAGTGGACCAGTACGGGCAAGTTGCATGACTGGACCAGTACGGGTAAGTTTCATGATTGGACCAGTACGGGTAAGTTTCATGATTGGACCAGTACGGGTAACTTTCTTCCAAGGATTGAGATTCAGTCATCACAAGGACGGTTTTTTCATCTCGCCACACCAGTTCGCTCCATTTATTTATTATATCACTGGAATTATCTGTAGTGGCAAGGTTTAAAGATGCCTTTCAGGGTTTATTAAAAATTTCAAGGTTTCCTCAACATTGTTTGTTTTGTTTGATTTTGAACACAGCTACACAAAAACTCTCGGCGATAGCCATGCCTAATTTTGAAGTAACAGAAGGACGGTAGCTAATGAACACCACCTCCTCCAATCCTCAGTCCGAATAGTCACTCTTATAATGCATCTATGGTTCCAATATGAGAAGAGTGACCTTTTTTTTTAGGGGAGAGGTAAGGGGACACGAACCTTCTTAACTAACAACGTTCTTCATTTAACTTTGATTCAGTGTTTAATATCTTTCACAAGCTTGATCGCATTCAACTAATCTCCTACTGGATGTGTTGAAGTTTCATGAGAGATTTATGGATTTTGGTGTTCTTCTGCCATCATCTCATCATTACTTTAGACATTATTTTGCCCTCTGGAAAATAAAAAATACATGTTTCTTTCTTTATTCCTTCAGTATATTACGTTGATATAAACTTTGTCACCCCATCCCCCCTCGGAGAAATTTCTGTGGACGCCCATGACTATGGCAAGAATACTTTGCTTCCTACCCTACAGCTCAACCCTATGAATTTTACGTGTGTAACATAATATCGTAAAATAAGAAGATATTTCCGACTATTTCGTGTAATAGTACGAGGGAAGTTTGATGTCTTTAGTCATTGATTGGTTTAGGCCTCAAATATTGCCACGCGACCCTGTTCATAGCCATGCCTTACAAGAGTTGCAATTCTTTATCAGACTGGCCCCTTGGATCCCCAAAGTGTTAATTTTGGGTATCTTATACGTGGGTTTAAAGGTAATGGCGTAACTACAAAATATGGCTCCCCCCGCATAGAAAGTAACTGGGCCTCCACATTTATTTCTCTACAATTGTTGTTACGATTCTGACTGTTTTATATCTTTAATTTAACTGAACATTCAAAATTAAATCAAACTTAAAATTGCATCTATAATTTATTTTCGAATTACCCATGTAGCAAATTTCGGGTCGGATAGTTTGGTTTGTTTGGAATTTCGCGCAAATCTACACGAGGGCTATTTGCGCTCGCAGTCCCTAATTTAGCAGTAACAGGCTATAGGGAAGGCAGCTAGTCAACACCACCCACCGCTAACTCTTGGACTTCTTATTTACCAACGAATAGTGGGATTGACCGTTGTATTATAACGTACCCACGGCTGAAAGGGCGAGTATGTTCGGTGACGGGTATTCGAACCCGCGACTTTCAAATTGTGAGTCGAGCGCCTTAACCAGGCCATGCCAGGCCTGGACCGGATACTTTATGCATTGGTAAAAGCAGAGTATGTAATAGTACGTATGGTGGAACTATAATTATTATATTTCCACCATGATAATACGGACCACTAACTGAGCAGTCAGTGTAGGGACTCTGCCTTTCCACTAAATGTGTACCAGAATATACCACTCTACCAGAATAGTATATCTCTTCCCTTGTCGGCAATTCCTAATTCTGTCAGGCCCTCTGAGCCCCCTGGAATTGCAGGGGTCGCGGGAGCATACTCACGCCACTGCTTTTGGTTTGTTTGTTTGAAGTTAAGCACAAGGGTACACAATGGGCTATCTGTGCTCTGCCCACTACGGGTATCGAAACCCGGTTTCTAGCATTGTAAGTCCGCAGACATACAGCTGTGCCACTGGGGGGGGGGGCTGCTTATAGGAGTTTGGACTAAATTTAATCAGTATTAGTTTTATAAATCTAACGAGTGATTGGGACTGAATATAATCAGGCCCCTGTGAACAAAAAGTATTATTTTATAACTCTAACGAGTGGACCTTTGGTCTGTTAGTTTTAGGTCGGGTAAATTTCAAAACAATGGATGATACAATTTATTGACCACACTTCTATATAAATAGAATACGCTTATCTTTTTCACGTGGAATTCTCACTATCATCTTATCTAGTCAAGCGTTAATTAATAATGTATATTTAGTTGTACAGTAGCTAGAATAGAGCTTGAGGTTATGTCCATGCAGGTTTTAACAAAAGCACTCTGTACCACGCAACGAGTTGAGGTTTCTAGTGAAGGTTTAATTATAGGATATTGATCAACATTACATCAGGAAAATTGAAATCAGGAATGAGATGACAATTTAATTTTACTTATATTTGTATATGGTCCTATACTTCAATCCTAACTAGAAAATGTAAATATACATTATTAGCCATTTTTAAAATACAACTCATAATAATCATATTAGATTAATACCTCACATGAAATGTACAAAGAAAATACTTTATTACTCTAAAAAACTTCACATATAAATATAATACTTATATGTAAGTGTTCAGTCGGTCAATATTCAAATCGGTTGACAAATATCTGGAACTCTAGACCCAACAATTCTTTAGTGATTATGTTTTCATTAAAAAAAAATTGAAGAAATAAGCGATCATAAACTTTACACCACGTAGCTGAAGAAAATCAAACATACCTGTTACTGAAGTCACTAATCCAATACTAATCCTCAAACTGATGTCGTGTCCTATATCCTTCCCAACTACTTCTGTCTGTGATAAGCATTCTTCAGGAAGCTTTATATCTTGGGCACACTCACCATGAAGGTCCTGCATGTTATAAAAAATTACCCAACATTTGACTGATTTTTGGGAGAGCGTATTTTAACTGTTGAATATTTTGACCACGTGATTTCTCTAATGTCAAGTATGCTATATGGAATGGAAACTGATTTGGCTGTTACTAAACAAATGTAATGTTGTGTGTAGCAATGAAAACAATGTGAAAAATAATGTCTTGGTTATACACCATAAGTAATCCTATTAGCGGGTGGATATTACAATATAGAATACAACAATCAGCAAAGAATGTATTATAAGAAGATTGTTATTGTTGTTTGTTATTAAGCACAAAGCTACACAAAGGGTTATCTGTGCTCTGCCCACCACGGTATCAAAACCCGGTTTCTAGCAGTATAAGTCAGCAGACATACCGCTGTGCCACTGGGGGGCTTATAAGAAGAAATGGCTTGCTTTTGTAAAGGATACAGTAATTAACAATGATTTTCAGAAAGTTAAAAACAGTATTAATAGTAATAGGGTTAGAAATAATGGATATAATTGTAATGAGCAGGTTAGGTCAAGTAACAGATTTAACCCATTCGTTTGTGCAGATGAGGAACTGGGGAGAGAGAAGGATAACAAAAGGGACAGATAACAACTGGAATGAAATAAATAGGCAGGTTATTGTTATAGGAGATTCTTCAGTACAGAACGTGGATAGGATAGTCTGTGTGTTATTTGTTTGATAGCAGGCGCATCTCCAAATTAGATTGTCTGCGCAGAGCGATGATTTTAGTATCTGTTTTTTTTAGAAGTGCAAGTTAGGTCTAAGCCAGTTATTGCATTGTAAGTTAGGCCTAAGCCAGTTACTGCATTGCAAGCTAGGCCTAAGCCAGTGATCGCATTGCAAGTTAGGCCTAAGCCAATTACTGCATTGTAAATTAGGCCTAAGCTAGTTATTGCATTATGTAAGAGACTTACTACTGTTTATTTTTTGTTTATTAAGCCCAATGCTACACAAGGGTCTACCTGTGCTCTGTCCACCATTGATATTGAAACCTGAATTTTAGCGTTATAATTCCTCGAACTTATCACTGAGCCACCGTTTTACTTAGGAAACATTTTAAATTCAAGCAGTATTTTATGAACCTCATTTGGTTTTTAAAAACTTGAGTAATTATCGGTACAGTAGATATATTGTTACGTCTCTAGTCGTTTGTTAATTTCCCGGTATAAATTCTTCCCGAGGAACTTCAGCGATACAA